TTGGTTGGTGAAGATTGAAAGATATTTTACCCTTCAATGGATTAAGGGAGACGAACGGCTAGAGGTGGTGCTCCTCGCCGTAGAGGGAGCGGCGCTGAATTGGTTCTACGCCTGGAAAAAGCAGGCATTAGTTCCCTCATGGCGCCAGTTCAAAAATGCCTTGTTGCGTCGCTACCAACCAAGCACAAGTAAGGACCCTTTCGGCGCATTATTTTGGCTCGCGACTTCATTGAAGACTTCAAGAAACTCTCATGGCCCCTGAAACACCTTGACATGGTGATGCAGATTGGGGTTTTCCTAAATGGGTTAAAGGAAGAAATCGGCACAGAATTGAGGAGCCTAGAACTTGACTCATTAATGAAGATGAAGGATAAAGCTATTTTGTTGGAAGAAAGAAATCAGGCTTGGAAAAGAAACCATGTTTTTCCTTGGGCTCAAGGGGCTGTGAACAATAAGGCCCATAATACACCTCATTTACATAATACTAAGTCCAATAACTCTTTCTCCTCGCAGGTGATAACAGGGCCCAATAAAACAACAACGACTAAGGACTTCCAACTCAAGAGAGATCCATCCCAGCTGAATCAAACACGACCCCGACTGTCCCAAGCAGAGATTCAAGAACGGAGTCGCAGAGGGTTATGCTTTAAGTGTAGGGACCCATGGAACAAGGAGCACATCTGCAAGTTCCGGCACTTCGGGCTTGAACTAGTTGAAGGAAACGAAGGAGAGGAAGTAAAGGAAGGGCACGACGAGGCTTCGGAGGAAGAAGATGGACCCTCTCTAGAGACCGGTCTACGTGTGCTGAAGATTTCCCTGCAAAGCCTGAAGGGCTCACTAACAAAAAATCCTTCACGGTGAAAGGAACTCTCTGAGGACAGGACGTCATGATCCTGGTGGATTGTGGGGCAGAAGGCAATTTCCTACACACGACACTAGTGGAGAAGCTTAAGATGATGATAACCGAGACCCTCCCCTATCGGGTTGAACTCGGTGCAGGGACACAACTCCGAAGCAAAAGGGTGTGCGAGGGAGTCAAACTTGATGTACAAGGGGTGGCAATTGTACAAACATTCTATCTCATCAAGTTAGGTAGTGTGGATATAGTACTGGGGATGGAGTGCCTACAAAGCTTGGGAACGATTACAGCAAATTTCTCTCAGCTGTACATTAAATGGCAAGAGGGAGCTGAAAGTTGGATGATACGAGGGGACCCATCCCTAGGCAGAAAAGGTGCTACACTCAATACAACTTTAAAAGCATTAAAGGAGAAAGGCGAGGGGATTTTGGTGGCTGCAATAGGACCAGAGGTGGAGGCTCCATCAGAGATACCAGACGTCATGCGCAAGTTATTGGAAGAGTTTGAAGATATTGGCACAATACCAAGGGGCTATTCCTGTGAGGACATGCAACCATGCTATAATCCTTAAGAAAGGAGCAGTCATGCCACATATCAGGCCCTACCGTTATCCTCACTCGTAGAAGAATGAGATTGAAAAATTAGTGGATGAGATGCTAGAAGCTGGCATCTCAGGCCTAGTATTAGCCCATGTTCAAGCCCGTATTGCTGGTGAAGAAGAAGGATGGAGGATGGAGATTCTACGTTGACTACCGAGCCCTGAACAAAATCACCAGACCAGACAAGTTTCTCATTCTAGTCATTGAGGAACTTTTGGATGAACTGGCCGGAGCATGGGTGCTTATTAAGCTGGACCTAAAATCTGGGTATCACCAGATTAGGATGCGGAAAGATGACATCGAAAAAACAACATTTCAAACACACGAGGGACATTATGAATTTTTGGTAATGCCCTTCGGGTTAACCAATGCTCATTCCACATTTCAATCGCTTATGAATCAGGTGCTCAAACCCTTCTTAAGAAGATTTACCTTGGTCTTTTTCGATGACATTTTGATGTACAGCCGAACAGAGGACGAACATTTGAGGCAAGTAAGGGATGTGCTGGAGCTTTTAAGGTAGAATCAATTGTACATCAACAAAAAGAAATGTTTTATGGTCGCCAAACTAGAGTATTTGGGGCATATTATTTCAAAGGAGGGCGTTGAGGCTGATCCCAAGAAGATTGAAGCAGTAATTAACTGGTCGACACCACGGGATGTTAAAGGGTTGAGGAGATTTCTGGGGTTAACAGGGTACTATAGAAGATTTGTGAGGGATTATGGAAAGACAACATGGCCTCTCACACAATTGTTGAAGAAGGACAATTTTTCCTGGAACTTAGAAGCCCAAACAGCTTTTGAAACCTTGAAGAAGGCCATGACCTCTTTACCGGTGCTAGAACCCCCAATTTTGACAAGGAATTTGTGTTGGAAACTGATGCATCTGGGACAGGATTGGGGGCTGTTTTGATGCAAGTAGGAAGGCCTATTGCCTTTTGGAGTCATACTCTTTCCAATCAGAACTAATCTAAATCTGTTTATGAGAATTAATGGCAATTGCCCTTGCAGTTCAGAGATAGAGGCACTACTTACTGGGGAGAAAATTCATGGTTCATACGAATCAAAAATCTCTCAAGTTCTTAATCGACCAACGAGTTCTGGGGGAAGGGCAGCAAGGATGGATATCCAAACTCATGGGCTTTGATTTTGAAATTAAATACAAAGCGGGGAAGGAAAATAGGGTCGTAGATGCTCTCTCTCGTAAGTTTTAATTAACAGCCCTCTCCACGGTTACCTTCTCCGAATGGGTGGGAATAGAAGAAGAGATTCACCGCGATGAGAAGTTGGCTGGTGTAATCCAGAAAATTATACAAGGTGAGACCTCAATTAGCAACTATGAGCTTAAACATGGGCGGCTCTTTTACAAGGGGAAGCTAGTTCTCCCTAAGGATTCTCCCCTGATTCCTTTAGTACTCCGAGAATTTCATGACTCAACCATTGGCGGCCACTCAGGATTTTTCAGAACATACAAGCGAATTGCCGGTTTAGTGTGGTGGGAAGGAATGCAGAAGGCTGTTTGAGAATATGTGGCTGCTTGTGATACTTGCAATCGAAACAAGTACCAGACCTAGAGGCCGGCAAGTTCATTACAGCCCTTACTAATCCCTCAACGAGTTTGGGACGATATTTCCATGGATTTCATTGGAGGGTTACCTAAGTCACAAGGCTGGGATACCATCCTAGTGGTGGTCGATAGGTTAACCAAGTACAGTCATTTCATTGGCCTAACTCATCCTTACACAGCCAAGGAAGTGGCTGAAGTGTTCGTCAAAGAAATTGTAAAGTTGCACAGGTTTCCCGCTTCAATCGTCTCAGATAGAGATAGAGTGTTCATGAGCTCATTCTGGAAAGAATCATTTAAAGCAGCAGGAACCCAACTAAGGTTTAGTACAGCTTACCATCCCAAAACTGACGATCAAACCGAAGTAATTAATAGATGCTTGGAAACGTATCTGAGATGTTTTTCAAGCACTAAACCTAAACAGTGGGCTAAGTGGTTGAGCTGGGCTGAGCTGTGGTTTAATACCACATTCCATAGATTGACGGGAACTACGCCTTTCAAGGCGTTATATGGGAGAGAACCACTGGCTATTATCCGAGGAGAGGAAGGCGCATCAGCAGTCGAAGAGGTCAATATTGCCTTAGCGAAAAGAGATCAAATACTTAAAGAATTAAAAGGGCAGCTGCATAGAGCCCAAGACCGAATGAGGGCACAAGCTAATAAGAGAAGGAGAGAATTAGAACTATCAGTGGGGGAGATGGTTTACTTACGAATTCAGCCTAATCGGATGAAGTCACTAGCTATGAAAACTAATCAAAAACTCAGTCCTAGATATTATGGTCCCTACAAGGTGTTGGAGAGAATAAGCGAGGTTGCTTATAAGATAGAGCTACCAACAGAAGCGAGAATACACCCTGCCTTCCATGTCTCCCTGCTAAAAAAATGTGTGGCAGCAAACGTGCAGAGTCAACCTCTACCAACCAGCTTGAATGAGAACTGGGAATTGATGGTTCAACCCGCAGAAGTCCTAGCTGTGCGAACTACCAACCAAGGAGACAGAGTTGTTGATCAAATGGAAGGGGTTACCAAATCATGAGAGTACTTGGGAGATGGCAGAAGATATCCAAATAGAATTTCCTGAATTCCACCTCGAGGACAAGGTGATTGTTCAAGAAAGGAGTATTGTTAGAGACAAGTTTCCTGAAAGCTTGAAAGTTTACAAGCGGCAAAACTATAGGAGAGAAATTAGGAAATAAGTTGTTATGTTCTGTTTTGAGTAGTTTAGGATTTCCTTTTATTATTGTTTTCTGTTACCTTTTGTTATTTTCTATTTTAGGATTTTCTTTGGTTATTGTTTTCTGTTACCTTTGTTATTTTATGTTACAGTAGCTAGGAGCATGATTTTAGGAAACAACATCTTAAATAAGGGGATTACAGAGGGGAATGGGGATCGAAAAAATTATTTCAGACTTAGGGTGTTGAGCCACTTGAGAGCTCGCTTTTCATTGCTGTAATTTCTGCTCAATTGAGCCAATTCAATACATAATTTAAATTTTAGAATCCTTACCTTATCAAATTTACACAAAACTAAAAATATTAAATTTATCGTTACCATTGTACTAAAGAAAATATTACCAAATGATCTGATTTGGGTGCAACATGCAAATTTTGCAAACATAAAAGTTAACATTATTGCTGTATAAAGTAGTAATTAAAACAATGATACATCATACATATGCATACATACTCTTTATTCACTTTCTTTTTTATTTATTATTTAAGTCTTTTCTTACTCACTAATATCGCATAATTCAAGAGTAAATATTTAAAAAGTTGGATCGTTGCAGAGATTTATGGATAAATATATTTTTTTGTTTCAAAAGATTATATTTGATCTACTTGATCTAAGAGTACTCAATTCATCCTTATATTGTAGATTTGAATCCTTGTTTATGAACATGAAAACTTGCCATGTCATGTGACACTACTAAGCACACAGCATTTCTTCTAAGCCAAATTCAAATGCTGAATGCTTTGAATTTGTGAGAAAGCTGCTTCAAAGAGAGCTGAAATGTTGACACCCTAGTCCAAGTTTTATATGACAACAAAATTGTCAAAGTTAAATGATGAAACATGATTCATGAGGGTGGAAAAAATGGAAATTTCAACAGAAAAACCACATAAGCAGTTGAGTGCTAAAGGACCCTCTTCCAAATCCAATCTTAGATTAACAAAATTTCTATATATATACTCAACATTTTTAACTTGGAAATAAACAGTGTTTCAGAGTTTACTTCCTTCTCAATCAGAGATTCAGAACAGCTCTATACAGGTAAGAATGGTGAACTGACTTGTTATTCAGTATGGTCAAGTGGATGGATGAAGCTTCAATAATGGGTAACAATAAGCAGCTCTATCTTCGTCCAAGCGCGTGCGCCCATTGCCTCTTGTGATTTCCAGGTTTAGCGTGTGGATTTCTGTGGCCAGTCCCTTGCCTGGGCAGATCATGCAACTCCATAACCTGTACTGTCCTCTGCCTCTTAGCTGCAAGCGAGAATCGAAAATCAGGTTCATCAATTTAGTTATGAACTTTAGATACACCAAATCATGTGTTAAGCACTTATGCTTCCAAATCAAGTCAAAACCCAAGCTCTAAAATTCTGAAAGCTTGATTTCCAAATCCATCATTTTAGGCCATTATCTTGGAAGGAGAGTCTAGTCCAAGAGTAAGGTTATTGCCTTGTAATCTGGATTTGGTAAGAGCCTCGTGCATTGGGTTGCCCGTTTTAACTTTAGTATAACTCAGGAAACGTGAAATTTATTGGACTGTTTGAATTTTATATTTAAAATTAGAAAGAAAACAAACACTGATTTTGGTAAAGGAATGACAAACCATTTTCAGCTTGTTGATACCGCTCTTGAAGTTTCCTCTTAGTGGCTTCTAACTTCACTTGGACTGCAGCATCATCGGAACACTTGAGTTTCTGATAGACAAGAAATGAAGTTCAAACATAATTCAAATCTACAAATTTGATGCAACAAGAGAACTTTTCCTTACATCTAGCTGACGAACATGAGGAGGCTTTTTGGGGACAGCACTCTTCACTGTATTTTGTTGCATCTTGGCTTCAGTATTGACTTTTTTCTGTATGGTTGAATTTGGCGGTCTGCCAGGGCCAGAATCAGTAAATACTGGTTTATTTAGATTCATAGCCGCCTCACTTTTCTTTGTTTTTTGACCCTTACTGTCCTTAGCAATGATGTTTGTCTCATTTGAAGCTTGAGGTTTCCTGTTCATTGTATTGTGACTGCTGAGAGATGGTCTTCTGCCATCTTCACGGTTCTTGATGAATTCCCCACTCTGTTGAGGATCTGAAGCAGAAATCCCCATTCACAATCATCAATCTAAGAAGTGGGGGATTCGAATAGAGAACCGTAGAACAAAATCTAGCAAGAGTAAGCATAAGAATATGCGAAGTAACTCACTTCCGTCATCATCCATGCCATCAAAGAACTTTGCATCATCCAAAAGTGCAAACCACGAGAAGTGGAAGTTAGTTCCTAACAAACAAACTCTCCCAAAAGTAAATAAAAGAAGGGTAGGGAGAGAGGAGAGGACATTTAAGTACCTGTGAGAGTTCCATTGAACCAGTTGGAGCAGCAAATAAAGCCCCTTCATCCATAGGAGGTGATGGAAGCCCTTCTTCATCATCAACAACAGATGGATTTACTGAATCTGGTGTACCTTCTGAGCCTACAAATATTTAATAATAAAGAACTTCTAAACCTGAATTAATTTTAAAACTGGATGAAAGAGCAGATTTTATTGATGTACCACATGAAGGGAAACAAAATGTATATACCTGTAATAGGTGGGGTAGCCTTGACCCATGCATCCACCATTTCCTTCCAACCACTACAATTCAATAGAAAAGTTTAGTTTGTTTCTCATATGGAAAAGTACTACACTAATATGAACAATAAATGGAACTCAAATTAGTCACGATCACGAGTCACGAAACTATATTTAGATCCTCATTAAATTAAAATATGCGTTACATTTAAGCACGAAGGAGACTTGATTGACTAAGTAGCCTGTACAAGTACAAGTTCAAGCCAAATGAAGGTACTAACTAATGACTATGATTACAGACTCAAGTTCAAAAACAATATCACACAAGAATAGCAAACCACTAATTGGCAAGTAATAAAACTGGTTACAAGCCTGTTCTTTTAATCCATGTTGAAGATAAACACACTGATTTTCTTTTTATGACACGACATTGAAGATGTACACGTGAAAAACAAGTGTTCAGAAAAAAATAAAATTCATACTCTATAAGAGTCCGTGCTAGTTGACAAATGTCCCTTGATCCATGCTTTCGCAGAGGATTGACAGCCTTCCCAATCTCAGTTGCCTGGCAAAGTATAATATTTTCAGACAACTAAAGGATTTACTAAAGCAGGAGAGAAAAATGGCAGGTTTTTTAAATGAGCAACGGATGACTCAATTCAAACCTTCAGAAGATCCACAGTGAGTTCCATTAGCTTAAGCCTCCTCAATGAATCCAATAGCACTGAATCAGACTGTTGTAACATGAAAAAAAGCACCATGAATCAGAGGACTACAACTCTACAAGACACAAACCAATTTAATCTTCATACAAAAACTCCAGTGCCATCCAATAAAAGACCTTGTGCATTCTAATTATCACTAACCTGTACCTATCTCATAAGGTCAAAAACCCATTCATCATTAAATATCATTAAAAAAAAAAATTGCAAGTAAAATTGCTACACAAAGAAGCAAGAACTGTTACACAACTGAATCACATATATCAAAGCACATATTATACCTCTTCTTCATAGTTAAGCAAAATCTCCTTGATCCTGAACACCTCCTCAACATGCTTAGACTCTTCTTCAATCTCATCAGTCAATGCCTCAGCTTCCCCATAGCTGTAATTGCTAACTTGATTCAGGTTCATCTCTCCATGATCATCTCTACTACTATTGACCTTGCTCTCCTTACTTGCACCTGCTTCAAACTCAAACTCAGCACCATCCCCATCAAAGTCACTCTTGCGACCACCACCACCACCACTACCACCTTCATCATCACCATCTTCATCATCCATTGACACAGACAACTCCACTCTATCACACCCCAAACAGCGACTCAACCTGCAAGAGAACAACCTCTCTGCTATCCCATCTCTCCTCAACCTGAACTCCTTTGGGCAATCAGAAGCAGCCACCATGATCGCATGGCCAATGATGTCAAATATGTCTGAGTTTGAAGCTCTAAAGTAGTTCCTCCAGTAATCAAGTGACCCTTTATTCATGGTCATCATCAAAACTAAGAAAGCCACGACCCCAGATCAATAGATCGAGGAAAAACCGAATCCACCAACCACCCACCAATTAAAATCGATTTTTTTTCATGCCAATTTTCACTAATCAATGCAAAACAACCGAGGTTTCGATGAAATCTAGAAATTGGGAGTACCAGATTGTTGTCCTTGCCCTTAGGAAGACAACGGAATAAAGGGGTTCAATTGTGGAGGTCGATCATCAGTTATCCATTAAGGTTTTTTTTTTTCTTCTATATATTTTTTGGGTTTAAAAAAATCATATTTTTGGTGTTGCGTTTTTGACAAAAGTTGGATTTTGATGCAAGTATGGGCAATGGATAAACGTTGGATTGGGAGGATGGAGGAGTACGGTAACAACAGAAAATCAGAAACAGACACGTACAATAAACGTCGAATGTTGTTGTCGTTTCAGATTCTGGCGTTAAAGTAGAAACCTCCCCCGAGGGAGGAAACACCACCGTGTCCTTGTTTTTCTCAAAGGAAAAAAAGAAAAAGAAAAAATTAAAACAGAACAGAAAACGCTAACGAAATATGGGTGCTATTAACTAATAACGGGAATTTGGGTGCCTAAAAACAAACTAGGAATTTCAGTTGATATTCTATGTACTTATCTAGCTTCTTCTGTGTAATGTTCTTCTACCGTGTGTTTAAACAAACTAACAATTCAGTGTTGCAAGAAAACTATAGGAAAAAAAATTAAAATTCATAAAAAAAAATAAAATTTGGTGTTCTCCGAAACCGCCCTTTGAAAAAGACAACGATGGAGAAAAACAAACTATGGGTTGTTGGGTTGCTTTTTGGAAGAGGGTTCTGAATTTTGGCTCGGTTTTGACTTGATCCAACACTTTGGTTGGAAAAGAAATATTAGAAAATGTACTGGGAAAGGAACCAACTCGGTTCCACCCTCAGGAAAAAGAAATCGAATACCTACTCGGTATACTGCTCGGCATACTAAACCGGGTACCCCTCGTCAGGATCAAAAGGTAAATAATCCAATTAAAGATAATCAAAATACTATGGGTCTCAATATAAAAACTGACTCAGGCCCATTAGCCCAATAGAATGTTTATAAAAAGAAGGTAAGAAATACAGGTAAGTGGTTGACTTCCCATCATTAAATAACATTTATTGCTCAGAATCGAATCCTGACTTTATCATCGGAGTGCCTTTTGCAGGTATTCTCCTTATCAGCAAATTAACAAGAAGGACGCCTGACCAGAGGTTTGAAGACAGTTGTTTTCCAGGAAGGAACATTTTGGCGCCCACCGTGGGGCCCGATTAGCTTCATCACTCAAGATTAAGCATGGTAATGACGAGAAGCCAGCAGGAAGGAACTTCTAGGCAACAAATGGAGGGCGTCACGTCAGAGGAACCAGTACCGGAAGTGGTGATACAGGGAGGAACGGAAGAAAGCATTCTAGCTGTACTGAGGCAGCTAAGGGCAGAAATGGTGGAGATGAAGAAGGATCGCGAAAGAGATGCACTGGAACTCTCAGCCCTAAGAAGGGAAAATGCCGGCCTCAGGGAAGAAATAAGGACACATGTCCCCTCCCTTACTACTCCCGTCGTCCAAGATCAAGGAGAATCCTCAGCGCTGCAAGAAAAGTCAAGACAGGTATATCAATCGGTAACCGGAAACGACCGAGACGAACATGTGAACCGGAGCCCGTTCATTCATCGCATTCTAGAAGCTAAGCTGCCCGATAATTGGAGAGGGTTGGCAATAGACAAATACGATGGCACATCCGACCCCGGAGAACATGTGGACATCTTTACAATGCAGGTCGGTCTGTACACAGAAAACGATGCCTTATGGTGCAGAATCTTTCCTACTTCACTTTGAGGACCTGCGCTTAGTTGGTTCACCCGACTCCCCCCCTCTCCATCGACTCGTTCGTAACTCTCACAAGACGTTTCAACTTGCAGTTCGCCACAAGCCGACCTTATCCGCTAACATCCTTGGCCCTAGTCAATATTCGCCAAGAGAAAGGAGAATCACTTAGAGCGTTCATGGAACGCTTTGGCAAAGTGACTCTTTCAATTCATAACTTGGAACCAGCAGTGGCTATGCACCACCTAACAACAGCATTGAAGCCGGGACCCTTCGTTAATAGCCTCTGCAAAAAACCCCCGATCGACCTAGATGTGTTAAGGAGCCGGGCTGCGAAATATATGCAAATGGAAGAATTATCCGAATACTGGAGCCAGGTACGGATGGAGCAAGGATCTAACTCAAAAAATGAAGAAAGAAGGGAGACCTTTAAAACAAGGCGGGGGAACGATAGAGGAAAAGAACTTGAGCGACCACTTCGAGGACCGAAGTATCCTTCCTACACGACGCTCAACTCTAATCAGTCCAGAATACTTGATCAAGCGTTGGCCACAGAAATATTGAGAATGCCTAGACACGCTAACACTCCTCCTCGGGCAGATAAAAGTAAGTCTTGCCGATACCATCAGAACAGGGGTCACACTACTGAGGAGTGTACGGCGCTAAGAGATAAAATTGAAGAATTGATTAAAGGTGGACACCTGAAAAATTTTGTACAGACAGATCCCATAAGGCAACCCAACAAAGGAAGAGACCGCCACCCTGATTCACCAAAGAGATCCGACGACAAAAAATTTGAACGGCACAGGAGCAGGTCTAGGGAGCCCCTACCTAGAAGATTTGAACAAGACAAGTATCCGAAACGGGTCATTAACACCATAGCCGGAGGGTTCGCTGGTGGAGGACCTACCCATTCGGCTAGAAAGAGGCATCTTCGGCATGTCCGTTCTGTTAATAATGTTTCATTGGGTAGCAAAATCCGGATCTCGCCTATTACGTTCACTGACGACGACTTTCAGGGAGTCGATCCGGTACAGGATGATCCCATGGTAATTAGTGTAGACATTTTTAACTGCATTGTTCGAAAAACACTAATTGACCAAGGGAGCTCAGCTGATATCCTATACTGGAATACATTCAAGCAATTAGGCATCTCAGAACAAGAACTCAAGGAATATCATCAGCCATTGGTCAGTTTTTCCGGGGAACGAGTAGAGACCAAGGGGTGTATCGACTTGTATACCTCGTTTGGATCAGAGCATGAGGGCAAACGCATAAGAGTCACTTATCTTGTAGTACACGCGAACACATCTTATAATATACTACTCGGTAGACCATCCCTGAACAAATTGAAGGCCGTAGTTTCCACTCCGCACTTGGCCATGAAATTCCCATCTGAAGGAGGCCGAATTGTTACCGTCCATGCCGATCAAAAAACAGCCAGGGAATGTTACTTCGCAAGTTTATGCCTTAAGCTCTTTCAGGGGAATACCCGGGATGTCAATATTGTATCCCCTCGGTTGGAAGAAGAGTTGGATGTTGAACTCGATCCTAGGGTGGATGAGGAATATCGAGTCGAGCCCAATGAAAACAAGCAATCTTTCCAACTAGGAGCAAAGCCAGAACAAGTTGCGTATTTAGGGATCGGTTTGAACGAACAAGAGAAAGCCGTTCTCCAAAAGATACTAGTAGATAATTCCGATTTGTTTGCTTGGACAGCCTCGGATATGCCTGGCATTGATCCAGCATTTCTATGTCACCACTTGTTGGTCTATAAAGGAGCCAAGCCGGTAGCTCAAAAGAGGAGAAAAATTGGTGGTGATAGAGCAAAAGCGGTAAGAGAAGAAACCAACAAACTAATACAGGCTGGCTTCATCCGAGAGGTCCGGTATTCAACATGGTTAGCCAACATTGTCATGGTCAAAAAAGCCAATGGCAAATGGCGAATGTGCACGGACTTCACGGACCTCAATAAAGCATGCCCAAAGGATGCATACCCCCTACCAAACATTGACACCTTGGTCGATGGTGCTGCTGGTCACAAAATACTGAGCTTTTTGGATGCTTATTCTGGGTATAATCAAATACGAATGTACCCCCCGGATGAGGAAAAAACAGCATTCATCACAAATTCTGCAAATTTTTGTTATCGGGTGATGCCGTTTGGTTTGAAGAACGCAGGAGCAACATACCAGTGACTCATGAACAAAATTTTTGAAAAACAAGTGGGTAAATGCATGGAGGTGTATGTAGACGACATGGTAATTAAATCCCTTGCATTGAAGCAACATCTTGACCACTTAGAGGAGGTATTCGGAGAAGCCAGAAAACATGGTATGAGGTTCAATCCTGAAAAATGTACATTTGGTGTAGCTGGCGGTAAATTCTTGGGCTTCATGTTGTCCGAAAGGGGGATTGAGGCAAATCCTGACAAATGTAAAGCCATCATCGACATGGCCAGCCCCCGCAATGTCAAGGACGTGCAACGACTGACCGGGCGGATTGCAGCCCTGGCTAGATTCTTGCCAGTAATGGCAGAAAGGTCTCGGCCTTTCATTGAATTGTTGAAGAAATCGCAAAAATTTGCGTGGTCCAATGAATGTGAGGACGCTTTTGTACAATACAAGCATGTGTTGGCAGCACCGCCTGTGTTGATTAAACCAACACCAAATCAGGAAATGATTGTTTATTTGGCCGTGTCTGATCACGCCGTCAGTTCGGTTTTACTTCAAGAAACACCCGAACCGAACCCCGTATATTTTGTTAGCAGGACACTTCAAGGTCCTGAATCTCGGTACCAGTTAATGGAGAAAATGGTACTTGCCTTAGTCCACACAGCTTGTCGGTTAAGACACTACTTTCAGAGCCATCGAATGGTAGTACGTACAGATTGTCCGATGGCCAAAATTTTGAGGAAACCAGAATTGGCTGGTCGGTTGGTGGCATGGACAATTGAATTATCTCAATATGACATTCATTTCGAGAACCGACGCCCCCTTAAAGCCCAGCTGTTAGCCGACTTCATCAACGAGTTTACTACACAACATAATACCATTTCAGACATGTGGAATCTGCACGTTGATGGGTCATCAAATTAAACAGAAAGTGGAGCGGGTGTCATTCTTGAGGGACCGAATGCGTTCGCCATTGAACAGTCTATCTGGTTCGGATTTAAGGCATCCAACAATCAAGCCGAATATGAAGCTTTACTCGCCGGTCTCAGGCTAGCAAGGGAAATGGGGGTTAAACTCATTACTGCTTAGAGCGATTCAAAAATCGTAACAGAACAAGTTAACGATACCTATCAGATCAGGGACTCGGTCATGCTTAAATATTACCAGGAGGTTAAGAAAATAAAAGCCGAGTTTGAGGAGGTATGTATTTGGTACACACCCCGAAATATGAACGCACGAGCTGACAGGCTAGCTAGGCTGGCAAGCCAACGGAAACCAGGGCAACTGCAGAGCATGGTTCACCAACAAATCCCCCAACCTAGTGTCACCAAACAAGAATGCATGGACATAGAAAATTCATCTCATAATTGGATGACCCCTCTCGTCCGATACCTCACTGATGGCAGTCTCCCACAGGACGCAGCAGCAACTAAGAAAATTAAAGCACATGCAGCCAAATACCTTCTTCTCGGCAAAGAATTGTATCGAAGAGGAATTTCCACCCCCATGCTTAAATGCCTAGAAGACGATCAAGCTAAATACGTGATGAGAGAAATCCATGAAGGTATTTGTGGAACCCATTCGGGCGGACGAAC